AGTAGAGTTTAAAATGCAACGGAAACCCATTTAACTTGTGCTTTTTATTCGGTACTGACACGAACGATCAATGACTCGTGGAACCAAGGCGCAGCGTGATAAGCGTACATTTTATTCAAGTACTGAACACACGAACAAAACAACAAACAAACGATACGTGACGTCTTAAAGGTTACACCAAACAAACCTATACAGAACAAGATCCCACCCCGACTAGTGCCAAACAGGCTGCCTAAGTATGGTCCCCAATCAGAGACAACGAGTTACAGCTGCCCCTGATTGGGAACCACCCTGGCCAACATAGATCCACACGATCTAGAAAACACAACATAGAAAATACAACATAGAAACTCCACACCCTGGCTCAACATTTAAGAGTCCCCAGAGCCAGGGCGTGACAGGTACATGGGAATTTAACCGCAAAAGTATTTTTATTTGCACTAATTCATCACGCACAGCCTTTTATCTGCAAGTCAATTTGATGAAAACACATCTCTGGTGGGAAAATGCGCATCTTGTTTTTATGTGGATTTTACAACATTTGAATGAAAATCTGTTGCCAATTGGTTGGAAACCTAGCTATTCACATGAACCAGAGAATGCAGTGCGCTTTTGAGAATGGTGTTTTCCAGCTAATTGCATTTTGGTCAATATGTACGCAGCCTACAGCCATGTGCGCATTTTTGAGATTATAATATGAAGAAATAAAACTTTATCAACATTTTAAGCTAAACGGTCTGACCTGTTGCATCACCCTCATTGCTTTTTAAAATAATTTTATGTGCAGTGGTTGTATGAATTTTGGATCTGTCGTCCCAGAACTGTCCCAGAGTCTGTTTTGAACCGTAGACATACACTACATGATCAAAAGTATGTGGACACCTGCTTGCCGAACATCTAATTCCAAAATCATGGGCATTAATATGGAGTTGGTCCCCCCTTTGCTGCTATAACAGCCTCCACTCTTCTGGGAAGGCTTTCCACTAGATGTTGGAACATTGCTGCGGGGACTTGCTTCCATTCGGCCACAAGAGCCTTAGCAAGGTCGGGCACTGATGTTGAGCGATTAGGCCTGGCTCGCAGTCGGCGTTCTAATTCATCCTAAAGGTGTTCAATGGGGTTGAGGTCAGGGCTCTGTGCAGGCCAGTCAAGTTCTTCCACACCGATCTCGACAAACCATTTCTGTATGGACCTCGCTTTGTGCATGGGGACATTGACATGCTGAAACAGGAAAGGGCCTTCCCCAAACTGTTGCCACAAAGTTGGAAGCATAGAATAATCTAGAATGTCATTGTACGCTGTAGCGTTAAGATTTCCCTTCATTGGAACTAAGGGGCCTAGCCCGAACCATGAAAAACAGCCCCAGACCATTATTCCTCCTCCACCAAACTTTACAGTTGGCTCTATGCATTGGGGCAGGTAGCGTTCTCCTGGAATCCGCCAAACACAGGTTCGTCCGTCGGACTGCCAGATGATGAAGCATGATTCATCACTCCAGAGAACGGGTTTCGACTGCTACAGAGTCCAATGATGGCGAGCTTTACACCACTCCAGCCGACACTTGGCATTGGGCATTGGTGATCTTAGGCTTGTATGCGGCTGCTCGGCCATGGAAACCCATTTCATGAAGCTCCAGATGAATAGTTACTGTGCTGACGTTGCTTCCAGAGGCAGTTTGGAATTCGGTAGTGAGGATAGACGGTCCCGTTCTGTGAGCTTGCGTGGCCTACCACTTCGCGTTGTTGCTTCTAGACGTTTCCACTTCATAATAACAGCACTTACAGTTGACCAGGGCTGCTCGACCAGGGCAGAAATTTGACGAACTGACTTGTTGGAAAGGTGGCATCCTTTGACGGTGCCACGTTGAAAGTCACTGAGCTCTTCAGTAAGGCCATTCTACTGCCAATGTTTGTCTATGGAGATTGCAAGGCTGTGTGCTCGATTTTATATACCTGTCAGCAATGGGTGTGGCTGAAATAGCCAAATCCACTCATTTGAAGGGGTGTCCACATACTTTTGTGTATATAGTGTATTTTTTATTGTCCCAGGGATGACGGGACACCCTTCATTTCAAGCCCTGGAGGGAATTATTTCACAAAGACATAAAAAGTATTTGGTTGTAGCCTAATTGTAATATTTTATAGGCTACCAAGGGTGGCCAACCATCCTCCAGGAGAGCCTTAAAAAGGCAGTGTTGTATTTTCAGACTGGCTGGAATATGCAAAGAAGCCAGTAGCCCACATTTCTGTCTGATTCTCTATAGTAAAAAAGATAGTAATGCATTTTATTTTATAAAGTGGTTCCTTGCATCATACAATGATGTAAAAATGGTGTTACAGACTATTTTACATTTTTGGTGTGACTTGAGCTTTTGGACAAGTAAAAAATCAGTCCTACTTGTCCAAAGGACAAGTGGCTAAAAAAGTGACTGTCAAGCCCTGTGGGTATAATAACCTCCCGTGCATTCTTCTTCTCCGTCAGAGCTCCAAGCTTGTTGTCCAGCTGTGCTATCTCCTGATGCAGACGGTCCACCTCTCTGTCCGCCAGGGCCATGAAATGCATCTCCGACTCAAGTCTTCTTCTCCCTGGCTTTGCACAGAGTCTGATACAGTACAGATAAAAATAAATCAGATAGAGGACAGGATTTCAAAGTTGTTGTAAAACTATTACTGTCATACATGTGTCTGTCTGCATGGCATTATTCGTTCGTCCATGCATAAACATAGCTAGCAATATAACTACTACTTACTAATAAAGTAATGGGTCTATGCATGGGCGAATTAGTTTTATGTCAGAAACTCAGCTCTCTTTTCATGGAATTCCAAAATGGCCAAGTAGCTTTACCTGATTGTGAGATAACTCCTGCCTAACATTTTTCAGGCTCTCAGTCTTGGCTTGTATTCTGTCCTTGTATCCACTACGTTTGTTCTCCAGTTGCAACTTCTCATTTTGTTTCCTTTTGTTTTTCTCTGCTGGCCCCTAGCAACCGTGTCAGGTGGTTAGTTACCACACCATCCGGTTGTAAGATTTGCTCGCTCCACAAGAGGGCAGCACTCAGACTAGAATAATTTAATAGGATCTCTATGGCAGCACTACACTACCACTCAGAAACATATGGTTTGCACTACATAACATAGTCACAAAGTCAAAATTGGCTATATCATAAAAATGTATGAAAACAAAAACATCCAGTCAGCGGCAGTCCTGTGGGCGAAAACAGCTCGTTGACAGTAGCGGTGCATGGGTAATGTCACTTGGGAAGCCAAGCTGTCCATGATGTGGCTGTCCATGGTTCTGATCTGTGTGTGTGTGTGTGTGTGTGTGTGTGTGTGTGTGTGTGTGTGTGTGTGTGAGAGAGAGAGAGAGAGAGAGTGCGTGCACGTTCGTGCAAGTAGAAAGCATGTTGACTCAAGCCAATGTCATCCTCCTCTCTTTCATGTTGAAGAAACGGTCTATCACTCTGTCATACAGTACACGCTTTAATTTTCTGTTGTCCTAGGCTACCTGGCTAAAATGCTTGCTCGCTTGCCTAACATCCGTTCATGGGCAACGTTAGCTAGTTAACATTAGCCTTCTACATCTAGCTACATATTCAACTTCCATCCTTCAATGCTACGGGCGGCAACAATGTCATACTCGTTTGGACCTGACAGCATCAGGTAGATGGCTTCCACGTAGAGTCAGATGGGCGTTGTTTAGCTCGCTCGGATGATTTCTCCTGTGAGTTACATTTAGCCTCTTGCGAATTGAAGGAAAATTATGAAACACAGAGACGAAAGATAAATAATTGTTTGGGGAAGCCTGGCTTCCCCTGGCATACATGAATACACGCCATTGCTCGTTGATGAGAGGTCGAAGGAGAATGGCAAGAATCATGCAAGCTAACAGACCAGGCACAAACAGGCAAATAATGGCACAGTATAACAGTGTGCAGAACGTCATCTCAGAACGCACAATCTGTCGGCCCTTGTCACAGATGGGCTATTGCAGCAGACGACCACATCCGGTTCCACTCCTATCGGCTAAAAACAAGAAGTGGCTCCAGTGGGCACGTGATCACCAACACTAGTGGAAATTGAGGAGGTGGAAAAACATAGCCTAGTCCGACTAATCCCTGTTCCTGTTGCGTCATGCTGATGGCAGAACCAGGATTTGGCATTAAAAGCGTTGAGTCCATGGCCGCATCCTGCCTGGTGTCAACGGTACAGGCTGGTGATGTAGTGGTGTGGGGAATGTTTTCCTTCCACACGTTAGGTCCCTTGATACCAATTGAGCCACATTTCCATGCCCCGAACAATTCCGGTTATTCTGGAGGCAAAGGGGGGTCCGACCCACTATTAGATGCGTGTACCTAATAAACTGGCCACTGAGTGTATGACTGCTACCACTACTACTTGGCAATGCAACCCGAGTCAGTGGAGTTTATCCACAAAATTTGGGGAAGCACACCAAAATATATAATGTATTTACTATTTTACAATAAACCATCCTGCCTATTCTCCTCCTATTTTATATCCAACTAAAACATGCCTAACCACATCAAATAATAGTTAAATGACCCCCCAGGAATGCGGGCCATTCTAATATTTGACTAAAACATCATTTCAAACCTTGCTTACATTTATTTGTATACAATCACATATCTCTCTATGAGTGGGAATATTTTGTAACAGATTTCAAAAATAAAACATCGCTTGGAGCTGATTTGCTGGTGTTTTTACAGTCTTATCCCCCCCCCCCAAAATATGTATATATATATTATTTTTTTATCACCCGAGGGCCAAATTCAGCCCGCCAGTTGGGGAACCCTAACATAGACCATTATTAATTGAGAAACAATTATATCTCTAGTAAAATTAACAATTGGAAGAATAGTATATCCTTTCAACATATGCCATTCATATGACATGCAGCTTTCGGGTATTAGATCTTGCAGACAGAAATATGACAGACAAGTGTGCATCATCATTATCAACACACAGAGCCTTGGACACATTAAAGAGATACCAAATTGAAACATTTTATTACCTTATACATGTGTGTATTGAAAAGCATTATGCTTAAAACAAAAAAATAATAATTACAATCAATGTTTTTGTACTGCTCAGTCACACAAATGTCTCATAAAACAAAATTCATAGCAGGAATGCACAAAGTATTAAAATTCTATTTCATATTTAAAAGAACGACATTCCCTCAGGGACCCTTGTGTTTAGAATACGATACAATTGTATTTGTCTTTTCGGGTGTTGGTTTGCTTCACACGAACCTCGACCACGTCAACTAAACACTGGGACAGGAACTGTAACGTCCAGGATGGCGACTCCTCTCCAGTTGGCTCGAGCCGACACAAAAAAGCCCCATACTAAAGATAAAAGGCCGAACCCCCACAAGACGACCGACGAGGAGATATGCCTTTTATATAGTCTTTGTGTAAAACATCTCAGTCCTGAGGGTTGGAAAAGGCAACATAGATCTCAGCTCAGTGCAGTTCCCTGTGCTCCGTTTCACCACCTTGGTTGTGTGTTTCTTGTATAAACAAACGTATCGACGTTCCGAGTTTGGGAGGCACCTAGACAGCTGTGCTTTTGGTACCGATGTGCGGCCGCGCAAACTCCACAAAATCGTCAATGAGGACCGGCCATGCTCCTTGGAGGGAAGAGACAAACATGACAGAACAACAATGAAATGTCTCTTTTAGATCCATGAGGTAGGACATTGACTAGGCAATATTCTCACTAATGTTTCATGCTTAAAATGAAACTTGCTTTATCTTAAAGGAAGCACAAAGGATGCAGGGTTAAGCAAGTGGTTATTGGAAGAGGCAACAAGTGGGCTGGCTCCATGTTGTTCTATTGACAACTGATTCCATTGCCAAGCACCTGACCTGAGGCAATGGGTAGCTATAGTTTTTAGCCCTAGTAAAACAAACACAAACCTTCCTCGTCATAATTGGACATGTCATCAGTTATCATTGTGCTGAAGTCTAACAAGAGGTTCCAGGTGTCCTTAGGGATTGATCGTTTATGGTGCTCCTGCAGGGGAAGTAGAGGAAAACATCCAAATGAGCATCAAGAGACACAACTAACCTCCATTTATCGTCCTACATGTTTATTGAAGCCTTCAACTGAAGAAAAACCACCATCCAATTTCCCCTCTGGGGATCAATAAAGTGTATTCAATTAAGTGAAAATATATAACTTACCACTAAAAATGTGTTCCATAGGTCCAGGAATTTGAATCTTCCAGCCAGTACTAAATTCCAATACGCAATTGCCATTTCTAAGTCTAGAAAATGCACAACAATGAGGACATGTCTGAGAGAAATCCAAGTCCAAGGAGCAGAGTAGACTATGAAAATAGATCAGGAAAGTCAAAATGGATTGCTTACCCAAACCTTTCTGGCCAGGATTCTTTGCAAAGTTAAATGTAAACTGGTAAAAGTCCTTAAATTTCACTTGGTCCTTTAACTCTTGCTCCATTTTTGGTAGTTGGGCTTTTAGTTTCTCTATACTGTCACACCTGAGGAGAACAAAATAAGCTTTAGCACCAATTACAAGTTTAAGGGTTAGCCTACCTGATGTGGAGAAAGAAGAGCTTAGCCTACATTCTGTTACACAACTCAATGGCTGATTGTGATGATGGATGACAATTTCCTCTATAGTTACATGATGAAACCAGTTAACACAAAAACACGTTGTCAATTAGAGTCAGTCAAATTGGACACAGAAATAAAGTCAAACCTATCTCTTGCAAAGGCCGTCCTCACCCTTGTTCTGCCATCCCGTCCATGAACTCCTGTCTGGAGAACTCGCACTGTGTTGCTGCCCGGAACTTCCAGGCAATGAGGAGCACACTAATACTGGCCGGGTCCAGGCCCAGGTCATCACAGAACTGCTGGATGCCATCTATACCGATCTTGTTGTCATCTTGTGGGTCTAAGTAAAGGATAAGGGGGGAAAAAAAGTTGTTCAATTAATACTTTCGCCATTGTGAGCTACTTGACTGACAAATGGGTAAACTGAGACAATTTACCCATTTGGCCTGTCTTTCTTTGATGATATCCATTTTATATGATTTTGGTGGTGAAAGTTGGTGAAGTACGTTTCCACAGCATGCATGGCATATAGCAGTTTTTATTTTTTACAGTCAGTAATACTGCTGTCGTTTTTACTGTCTTAAACCCTTGACAACCTTGAGTGATGACACTTACCTCTGTATCTGTTGTAGAGCTGTTCTAACTTTTTCTTGTCTAACGCTCCTTTTAGATTTGAATGGTAGAGGTCTGGATTTTGGAAAAAGTTGTCTGTGGCGACATCTAGTTTCCAGTCATTCTGTGACAGACAGGTCAATGCAGTCTTCTCATTCGATTGTGTGAAGATCATGAACTGTCGAACTTTATCCTTCTGTGAGGACTTCAGCTTGTTCTGGGTAAAGACAGACATTTTCAGGACAAACAAAGAGTACGCAGGTTAAAGGCACAACCTGTAGCTTTCATTCTGACAATGCTTTGTCAAAACTAAAAGCATTACTTTTAACTCCTGCGCATTTCCCAAATGACACCTGAAGTATAGCTCTACTCAGGCTCAGAATTGTGAGAACTTTCAAAACAGTATAGCCTTAGGTAGAAATGCCATTCCTGGCAGCAGTCTGCAAACCTAACAATACATGCATCCATTGCACACTTCTTCTTATGGTATCTTGTCAATAACCATAATCTTGAATGCATGTTATAATAGCTTGCTTTTAGCCACGGAGGTCGTTTTGAAAAGTTACTTAGTTGTCTAATAATGACTTTCCTTTAGGTATCTACCCAACACAACGTAAAACTGCTTAGTCGACTATGCATGCAAGGTTTGGGTACAGAAAGGTGTTACCATGACATACAGAGCACAACAATTAAGTTATTGTGGCATTCACACTTCCTAATCCAGTATGCACTCTACTTAGCCAAGGCGTTTAAAGGCAAAACAAATAGGCCTAGTCAAAGCTATGATCCGCGACTGCGCATATATGTTCATTTTAACGACAAGCTAGCTGAGATTGGTTGGCTTCTTTAGCAAGGTTAGACTGCTAAATTGACTGTCTAGAATATGTTGTTGACTATAGCTGTCTGACAACCTAGCTATGCTGCATTATTGACACGCTAGGTTGTTCAATGACAATGAACCGAAATCCAGTCGAGTTGCTAAAAAACTAGCTAGCTAACAGTAACAGCTAGCTAACGTTAGCAGTGTTTAGGATGAAAAACAAAGGTAACAGATAACCGTTTCGCAAGTTTGTTTAAATTCAGTGTTTAGAGTGTTGATTTGATCAACTATGGGGGGGATAACTACAAATAGACACCAAAAACGAAATAAACAGAACATGTTCCTCACCATGTTTGTAATTGCCCAACTCCCGTCTTCCCACCGCTGTGAAGCAGGCAAGAATAATTAGCTAAACTCTTCCGGGTCACGGATTTTTGGACTCCTTCAGAATAATGGTGTGTTCGTAAATTCACTTTGGAGTGCCTGAGTGCGCTCTGGGCGTTCATATATTCAGAGCGTTGTCAGATTATCCGTTCGTAAATTCAGAGCGTTTCGGCTCTCGGAGCGTACACTGAACGAGCGTTCTGACCTCACAACGGCAGTCAATAACCCAAGCTAATTTGGCTAAAGTTGGCTAGCTAGCTTGCAATTTCCATGCACAAATGAGAGAAGACCTCACTCTGACCAATTTACTCGCCTTAGCATACTTAACTCGCCTGTAACTGTGCTGCTGGCAACGTTTTAATAATGTTTTTGTTTTTTTTGCCGACGTTTTCTAACACCACCGGTCATATTCAACGGGTGTTGAGCGTTCGTAAATTCATCAGTTATTCTGCGCTCTGGCACACTCAGACGAGAGTGCTCTGAAATCGGAGTAGATAGCCAGAGGGAATTCACGAATGCACCCTAAGAAATTGTTTTTTCTTAGAAAGAGTCCCGTCCTGTTAACTTTGTAAATGAATTATTATGTAAAATGTGCACAATTATCGATATATTTGACACTACATACAAATAATGATTAAAAGTATTTCTATAAGATGTGTGATTTTTTGTCGGATTTTTTGTTAAACCTAAATGATCAACACATGTTTTGTGTGTGTAATTTTATCATTTATTGGACTGTACACCATTTTCTGTATGTTGTGTCGCAGTTAAATGGGGGACCATTCTACTCAGGAGTAGGTTTACACCCCAAGCAGGGTTGCTGCTCATTGTGCGGCCCTAAAGGCCAAGCACCACTGGCTGAAAATACATTTTTGCATTTACCTATCAATTTTGGTATTTCGGTCCATTAATATTAGTATTTTCAAAAAGTAAACATAACAATTTCCAAAACTTGATGAAACTGTATATTTTCTTTAGTTTATCATACTACCGTCATACATTTTGATGAATTTTAACCACTTTAAAATGGACATGCAGTACCTTCAGAAAGTATTCACACCCCATTGACCTTTTTCCACATATTGTTGTGTTACAGCCTGAATTTTTTTATTGATTAAATTGAGATGTTTTGTTACTGGCCTACACTCAATACCCCATAATGTCAAAGTGGAATTATGTTTACAAATTAATAAAAAATGAAAAGCTGAAATGTCTTGAGTATTCAAAATCCTTGTTATGGCAAGCCTAAATCAGTTCAGGAGTAAAAATGTGCATAACAAGTCACACTTTGTGTGCAATAATAGGGTTTAACATGATCTTTGAATGACTACCTCATCTCTGTACCTCACACATACGATTATCTGAAAGGTCCCTCAGTCGAGCAGTGAATTTCAAACACAGATTCAACCACAAAGACCAGGGATGTTTTCCAATACCTTGCAGATGGGGGGAAAAAAAGACATTCAATATCCCTTTGAGCATGGTGAAGTTATTAATTACACTTTGGATGGTGTATCAATACACCCAGTCACTACAAAGAGACAGGCGTCCTTCCTAACTCAGTTGCCGGAGAGGAAGGAAACCGCTCAGGGATTTCACCATGAGGCCAATGGTAACTTTAACACAGTTACATAGTTTAATGGCTGTGATAGGAGAAAACTGAGGCTGGATCAACAACATTGTAGTTACTCCACAATGCTAACGTAATTGACAGAGTGAAAAGAAGGAAGCCTGTACAGAATAAAAATATTCCAAAACATGCATCCTGTTTGCAACAAGGCACTAGTAATACTGCAAAAAAAATGTGCAAGTGCAATTAGCTTTTTGTCCTGAATACAAAGTGTTATATTTGGGGCAAATCCAATACTAGACATTACTGAGTACCACTCTCCATATTTTCAAGCATAGTGGTGGCTGCATCATGTTATGGGCATGCTTGTAATCGTTAAGGACTTGGGAGTTTTTTAGAATAAAAAAGAAACGGTATGGAGCTAAGAACAGGCAAAATCTTAGAGGAAAACCTGGTGCAGTCTGCTTTCCACCAGACACTGGGAGATGAATTCGCCTTTCAGCAGGACAATAACCTAAAACACAAGGCCAAATCTACACTGGAGTTGCTTACCAAGTAGACAGTGAATGTTCCTGAGTGGCCGAGTTACAGTTTTGACTTAAATCTACTTGAAAATCTATGGCAAGACCTTCAAATGGTTGTCTAGCAATAATCAACAACCAATTTGACAGAGCTTGAAGAATTTTGAAAATAATACATGGGCAAATGTTGCACAATCCAAGTGTGGAAAAGATCTTAGAGACTTCTACAAAGTATTGACTCAGTGGTGTGAATACTTATGTAAATTAGATATTTCTGTATTTAATTTTACAATACATTTCTAACATTTCAGAAATCGTGTGTGTGTAGAATCAATTTAATCGAGTTTGAATTCAGGCTGTAACACAACAAAATGTGGAATAAGTCAAGGGGTATGAATACTTTCTAAAGGCACTGTAGAGATGTTTTCTAATAATTGTATTGAAAAACATACGACTGCCATGCAATGGTTTATAATTGTATTATTTTATTAGTTGTCACAACATTTTAATCACTAGCACATTTCTCCATCAAAGTTTTGGGTTTGTAGGAAAAGTCTTCATATGAGAAATGAAATGAGAGATTTCTGTATTTCATTTTCAATACATAAAATTGCACTTTCTTTTCACTTTGTCATTATGCATTATGCATTATGCATCGCAGTGCTAACTGTGCCACTAGAGATCCTGGTTCGAATCCAGGCTCTGTCGCAGCCGGCCGCGACCAGGAGACTCATGGGCGGCGCACAATTGGCCCAGCGTCGTCCAGGGTAGGGGAGGGAATGGCCGGCAGGGATGTAGCTCAGTTGATAGAGCATGGCGTTTGCAATGCCAGGGTTGTGGGTTCGATTCCCACGGGGGGCCAGTATAAAAAAATAAAAATAAAATAAAAAAATTTTTATTCACTAACTGTAAGTCGCTCTGGATAAGAGCGTCTGCCAAATGACTAAAATGTAAAATGTAAAATGTAAATTATGGGGTACTGTGTGTAGATGAGAAGAAGAAAAAATGTTTTAATCCATTTTTAATTCAGGCTGTAACACAACAAAATGTGGAATAAGTCAAGGGGTATGAATACTTTTTGAAGGCACTGTACATCAATCATTTCAAAGCTCACTACATTAAATTACACATAATTTAAAAGGCCATTTCATAGAGTGTTACAAACTGGACTAGGCCTATATTTAATAACTTATTTTGAAGAGAGAGATGGTGATTGGGTCTAAATAGGCGTTTGTTGTTTGGTAGTCTAAATTCAGTGTATTTCTCTTTAACTGCCATTTCCCCGAAAGTCAGACTCTTCCCACACACCAGCTCATTATTCTCAGCTCCAGAAGCACCTGCTATCACCACATTTTGTGTGGTTATCCTTAGCGGGAATTGTTGATATGTTGTACATTTTTTATTCTAGATAATAGTTTCTTTGGAAAAATGCACCAAAAATCTTTAGTATTTTACAGATAGAAAGATGAGTGTCTTAACAAAATAAAACCCAAAATGTTATTGAAACGCCCCATAACATTTGTTGTGTATTCGGAGAACATTGTAACCAAGTTCTGCTAGACATTAAGGCAATGTTCTCCTAACATTAACACCAAAACATTTTATTTAATTTTTTATGTTGCTGACAGATAGAATGTTCCCCTAACTAATGGAAAACTGGACAATTAAACAGGTGAACATTACAAAAACGTTCTCCCTATAATTGTTAGCTGGGTTTGCACCTGCAGGTTTTACACAAGTGAAATACTGTATTTAGCTATCAAATGCAATACTTTGTAGTTGGGGTTTTAGTTGTGAGATTGATAGTGGCGTACATTTCTGGGAGGGAATTCACTGGATTGAATGGTTTACTTTACACAACAAAAACATGTATACGTTTTTTCCATGGGCCTGGGCTGGGAATGCTATATATTTAGTTAGAAAATAATCCAAACCATTCCAAATGTATGAGTGGTAAAACAGGGCGTTACTACACATGACATGAGAAATGAGAAACAGAGACTGTGTGAGGTCAGAAATTATTTCATAAAGTTGATATGTTGTCTTGGCAGAGTAAATTTCCCATAGAATTTAGCATGCCATGAATTTTGACATGATGAGGACTCCGTAGCAACCCAAATACCTGCAACTTGTGCTGCAATATCCTTCCGCTATAAAATAGTCTACATATTTTGTTGTTTTCGCTTTATAGAACGCAGCTTCACAGTATTAACACATAAAACATAAATATTTGTCTATTAAAAAGATTGTCTTTGTGTGGAGAATGTCTTGTCTGTCCCGAAAAATTACCAGATTTACTGTTTACATATCAGTGAAAATAGTCCGGCCATATAAAATCGCTTGTCCTCCTCTCCGTAGATCTTTTCCAGTCGCATGTTGAAGTTTGAGTGGATCATGTCTAGCGATTCTCCTGATTACAACAGGTAAAGCCTTGTTTCATGGCGTCACATTAAAATGACATGTATTACATTATTTATAGACCTGCATTTTCCATGCATCTTGTAGCTATTCGTAGGAAACTAGCTAGCTAGGTGGCTTACAACGCCGGACCCCATTGGCATTAGCTTGCTAGCTTAATGTTAGTTAACGTTAGCTATCCATGTTAGTTCTCTGTCAAGATGCTAGGTCACGTCTGCCTCATATTTAGCTGATGCAAAGAATATGCAGTAAAATATACAATTTGGTTACCTAGACACAATTTACACATTTACTAACTGTAGGCTTGTCATTTTACACAAAACCAATTAGATAATGTCAGATGGTGTCATCCACGGCCTAGTTCCAGCCTTGGTTGAACTAAGTTTCAGACAGACTAGCGCAATGATGGCTTTGGTTCCAGCTAGTTCGGCTAAATTAGTTATCTAGGTTGCTAACTTTGGTTAACTAGCTAGTCAGCTTGCTAACGTTGCCACGCACGGACTGAGTTGGCAGCAGGATTAGAGGGGGAATTTTTTAAAATTAATATTAGCTAAATTTATTGAATTTCATCGGTTTATCAGCTCCATCGGAGATTAGTTAGCTTAAGAAAAAATGGTGCTCCTTTTGGGATGTGGACAAGTGCGAGACAAACCAACCAAGTCGGTGAAGTTGGGACACCACAGGTCTCACTCAATAAGCAACACTAGCTAAATGTAATTTCTATATATTTTTTGTATTTTACTCCTCACACTTACATGTCAAACTTCCCACTTGGCTGATGAGGATTTTCCTGTAATTGCTTCACCAACCCTCTCCCAATAACCATATTGAAATTAATCTGAATGTTTTGGTTGCTCAGTATGTCTGATGCTGCTCCTTATTTTCACCTATAGCTCAAGAGATCGTGAGCATGATGCAGGGCCAGAGGGGATGGAGCCTGATGGTGTCATCGAGGTATGGTCTTAACTCTCTCCTAGCGAAATCAATTAATTTGGTTAAAATAAATTATGGATCTCTGAGGATTAGGGTAATCTCTCCATGACTGCATTGGTTTGAAAGTTTACCCGACTCCTTGCACATCACTTGTTATAGGGGATTTCAGTTCCCTTCTGTAACAAGGTTTGAGTGAAATGATGGCATTTCATCTTTCGGGACAGACCTGATAATGGTGACACCTTTCTATACTGATCACTCAACCTCAAGCGTAGGCCTGCAGTTGACTCACTGTCATCGTAACAATTTGTACACTGAACTAAATACTCATGTTATTGTGCAGAGCAACTGGAACGAGATTACTGACAACTTCGATGATATGGCCCTGAAGGAGACACTCCTTAGGGGTATTTATGCGTATGGTTTTGAGAAGCCATCGGCCATTCAACAGAGGGCAATCATTCCGTGTATCAAAGGTATGTAAATCAATGGTTTGTTTATACCAATAAATGAAAGTTGAACATCCTCTCATTGAGTGAAATGATGGTATACCATCTTTTGGGACTGCAATGGAGAACTACTTTTGAGTGTTAATGATCACTCAAGTGAATGAGGACTTAATTTGCATTCTGATCATGAAACCCCTTTGCTCCCACCCCCCAGGCTTTGATGTCATTGCCCAAGCCCAGTCAGGCACTGGCAAGACTGCCACGTTTGCCATCTCTATTTTGCAGCAACTGGACATGGAGCAGAAAGAGACCCAGGCTTTGGTACTGGCCCCCACCAGGGAGCTGGCTCAGCAGGTATGCTGTACCTGAGGTCAGGATAAACTTAAGTGTATCAGACCAAGGCGGCATATTAAGTCTCAAACCAAAAAGGTATTTATATTTTCCCCACTTCCTTCCTTCATGCAAAATCAACTAATTGGATTAAAGGAGGTGACAGATCTCTTAGGATCGGTGTAGTCTCTGTCCATGACTGCATTGCTCTGAAAGTTGACCTGACTACTTGCCTATCACTTGTTTATAGGGGATTTCAGTTCCCTTCTGTAATGAGGGTTGAGTGAAATGATGTCATTTCATCTTTCGGGACAGACCTGATAATGGTGACAACTTTTTATGCTGATCACTCAAGAAACCCACAAGTCTAGTTTAATACATTGATGCCAAGCGCAAATCACCATGAAACATATTGTTTTACCCATTTCAGATCCAGAAGGTGATTCTGGCTCTGGGGGACTACATGGGGGCTGCCTGCCACGCCTGCATTGGGGGCACCAACGTCCGCAACGAGATGCAGAAGTTGACGGCCGAGGCCCCCCACATAGTGGTGGGGACTCCAGGCCGGGTGTTTGACATGCTTAACAGGAGATACCTGTGTAAGTACTCATCAGTGTAAGTATCTGCCATCTGACCAACTCATTTCTCTCTTGTCCATTGGCATTCTTTAGAGGCCTTCCTAGCTTGTTGATCACAATACATGTGCTAAGTTGCAGTCTTGTCTACTTCATTGTAGCTCCGAAATGCATCAAGATGTTTGTCCTGGACGAAGCTGATGAGATGCTGAGTCGAGGTTTTAAGGATCAGATCTATGAGATCTTTCAGAAACTGAGCACAAACATCCAAGTAGGTCTCTTTTTTATAAATTATTAAATAAAACTATTTATTCTATACTGAACAAAAATAAACGCAACATGTAAAGTTTTGGTCCCATGTTTCATGAGCTGAAATAAAAGATCCCAGAAAAATGTCCATACCTACCTGAAAGCTTATTTCTCAAATGTTGTGCACAAATGTGTTTACATCCCTGTTAGTTAGCATTTCAACTTTGCCAAGATGATCCATCCACCTGACAGTTGTGACTTATCAAGAAGCTGATTAAACAGCATGATTACACAGGTGCACCTTGTGCTAGGGACAAAAGGCCACTCTAAAATATGCCGTTTTGTCACACAACACAATGCCACAGATGTTTCAAGGGAGTGTCCAATTGGCATGCTGACTGCAGGAATGCCCACCAGAGCTGTTGGCAGAGATTTTCATTTTTGTAGTTTTAGAGAATTTCGCAGCATGTCCAACTGGCCTCACAACCATAGACCACATGTAGCCACGCCAGGCCAGGACCTCAACATCCAGCTTCTTCACCTGCGGGATCGTCTGAGACCAGCCACCCGGACAGCTGATGAAACTGGGTTTGCATAACTGGATAATTTCTGCACAAACTGTCAAACAGTCTCAGGGAAGATCATCTGCGTGATCGTCGTCCTCACCAGGGGCTTGACCTGACTGCAGTTTAGTGTCGTAACCGACTTCGATGGGAAAATGCTCACCTTCGATGGCCACTGGCACGCTGTTTTCAACGCTACTGAGCAGACGAGTGGTTTGCTGATGTCAGCGTTGTGAACAGTGCCTCATGGTGGGGTTATGGTATGGGCAGGCATAAGCTACGAAACACAATTGCATTTTATTGATGGCAATTTGAATGAAGAGATACCGTGACGAGATCCTGAGGCCCATTGTCGTGCCATTCATCCGCTGCCATCACCTCATGTTTCAGCATAATACACAGCCCCATGTCGCAAGGATCTGTACACAATTGCTGGAAGCTCAATGTCCCAGTTCTTCCATGGCCTGCATACTCACCAGACATGTCACCCATCGAGCATATAGGGATGCTCTGGCTCAACGTGTACGACAGCATGTTCCACAGCTATTGAAGAGGAGTGGGACAACGTTCCACAGGCAACAATCAACCGCCTGATCAACTCTATGCAAAGGATTAATTCATTTCTGCATTTATAATTGGATTTTCTGTTATAACAATGTATTTTTGTACTTATGTATTGTATATTGCTTTATGGTGTTTTCATATAAGCCCTTGGGCTTACATCACCTGCACACTGTTTCAAATTTAAAAAAAAAATTCAAATCTCACTTTGTGTAAATAAAACAAAACAGCCTGATCAACTCTGAGACGGAGATGTGTTGCACTGCATGAGGCAAATGGTATTCACACCAGATACTGTTTTATGATTCACACCCCTGACTTAAAAAAAAAAAGCTAACTGTGACCAACAGATGCATATCTGTGTTCCCAGTCATGTGAAATCCATAGATTGAGGCCTAATTTATTTCAATTGACTGATTCCCTTGTATGAACACAACAATTTCAACAATGTTACAGTTCATGTAAGTCAATTGAAAAATTCATTAGGCCCTAATCTATGAATTTCACGACTGGGCAGGGGTGCTTCTATGGGCCCAGCCACTTACTAGCCAGACCCAGCCGATCATAATGAGTTTTCCCCCACAAGGGCTTTATTAGACAAATACTCTTCAGTTTCATCAGCTGTCTCAGACGATCCCGCAGGTGAAGAAGCTGGATGTGGAGGTCCTGGGCTGGTGTGGTTGTGAGGCCGGTTGGATGTGCTGCCAAATTCTCTAAAACTATGTTGGACGCGGCTTATGGTAGAGAAATTAAAATCTCTGGCAACAGCTCTAGTGGACATTCCTGCAGTCAGCATGCCAATTGCACACTCCCTCAACTTGAGAGCTTTGTGGCAAAACTGCACATTTTAGTGGCCTTTTATTGTCTCCAGCACAAGGTGCATCTGTAATGGTCATGCTGTTTAATCACCTTGATATGCCACACCTGTCAGGTGGATGGATTATCTTGGCAAAGAAGAAATGCTCACTAACAGGGATGTAAACAAATTTGTGCACAACATTTTAGAAAAGCTTTTTGTGTGTATGGACATTTTCTGGGATCTTTTTATTTCAGCTCATGAAACATGGGACCAACACTTTACATATGTTTTTATATTTTTGTTCAGTATAACTCAGGAATATCTTTAATTGTTTTGTATAGTTCTGTGTATATACTTGCACAATTTTACTCATGCATATGAATACATTTTCAGATTGCATGCTAGTGCTTTGCTGAAGAGAATAGGAGTTGAACCTGTAACCTTGTAGTCAGAAGGCAATCACATGAGGTTGTTTTCCCTAGTCACCCCACTTCCACATGAAATAACTGCTAAAATTGCAGATGCCAGGTTAGCTTGGTTTATGCAGTAATGCTAGCAGAGTATTGCGTGGGTATGAGTCGTGGTCGGACCTCTTAATGTTCGTTGTCGTCTGTCTCGAGGCCCAGTGCAACAATTAATCAGCAACTTTGGATGACAGGCGCATTTCTCCAGTTCACAGGGTAATGAGTTTCTCCGGTATCTCCACAGGTGGTCCTCCTCTCTGCCACCATGCCAGCGGATGTCCTGGAGGTGACCAAGAAGTTCATGCGAGAGCCCATTCGCATCCTGGTGAAGAAGGAGGAGCTTACCCTGGAGGGTATCAAGCAGTTCTACATCAATGTAGAGCGAGAGGTGGGTAGTGTTCACCAACGCCATGGCTCCATATTTATCCAGTTGCAAATGTTGAGTTCCAGTAGTCCAACCAAGGATCTAGCGTTTCCCTTTTAAAGCACCCTGCTATAATTGTGGGGGTGAAGCCTCTGGGCTTGGCCCTTGCAGGCATGTGAGCATGGGTACACCAAGGAAGAAAAGTGAAGGCAGTGTCGCAAATGAGGCTAGGGTGGACCGCTTTCTTAATGTCCGGGGTCCTATGTCTCAAGATTCTGTGCTACAATATCTCTGAATGTGTAATGTTCCATTTAGAAATAATTTGTCATAAGGCTAGCCAGGCCTGCTCAGTAAAATGAGTTGTAAAATGAGTTGTACCCTTCCTGTTTCTTCCAGGAGTGGAAGTTGGACACGCTGTGCGACCTGTACGAGACTCTGACAATCACTCAGGCAGTCATCTTCCTCAACACCAGGAGGAAGGTCGACTGGCTGACCGAGAAGATGCACGCAAGGGACTTTACTGTCTCTGCTCTGGTAAGACCACCAGAAACATTGCTACCAGAATTATAATGGAGCTCAAATGCTGTCATATTGGACATAAAGTTGTATTAGAAAGTTCAGGTTGAATGAACAAGTTTTTGTTTTGTTTAAATATATATATATATAATATATTTCTAGCATGGAGACATGGACCAGAAGGAAAGGGATGTGATCATGAGGGAGTTCAGGTCTGGCTCCAGCAGAGTGCTCATCACTACTGACTTACTGGTGAGTCTACACTCTGATCTACCGACTGTCATTAGTGATGACTAAACATGTGTGCATGATATTGTGTTATCCCAAAATGCAACCCAAAAGGTTTTTCTCAGCGATGGCCCTTTGTATGGCTTAGCAGTAATACCTTTTGGGAGATGAAAGGTCTGTTCTCCACCACGGATTTCTCTCGCTGTAGGAATCTGTTACTTAATGTCAGACTACATTTAAAAAAAAAATCAAATTTGCTTTAGATATTCATGTTGGTGCCTCAACTTTGCTTGCTTTGAACTATTGTTCTTTTTGATATTCAGGCTCGAGGAATTGATGTGCAGCAGGTTTCCCTGGTCATAAACTATGACCTTCCTACAAACCGAGAGAATTATATTCACCGGTATGTAATCTGATGAAATGGATGACTTGTGTTATGACTGAATCTTTAATGTAATTGTAAAGTTTGCGCCTGGACCTGACATTTTGTTCCCCCCTCATTTCTACAGAATTGGTCGCGGTGGCCGTTTTGGCAGAAAAGGCGTGGCTATAAACTTTGTGACCGAAGAGGACAAGCGTATCCTTCGGGACATCGAGACGTTTTACAATACGACAGTTGACGAGATGCCTTTGAATGTGGCTGACCTGATTTGAACCAGTGGGTTGAGATTTTTTAGCGCGGTGCTAGCGGTCGTACACTTGCATTGTGCTTACATTATTATTCGAGGCAAACTTCTCTCATTGCTATGCCTGAATCAGACTCCCGATATTTGTAGGATAAGGCGACATCGATGGTCTCTCGTGGACAGTTGTAGATTCTAACCTCTTAGAGTTTGTTGGAGCTACAAAAGCCTTGGCGACAGTTAACGTTATGGTTCTTATCAGTTTATTTCAGTGTTCTATTAAGGTTTGTGTAGTGGATGTTCTTCAGCGTTTAGTGATCTTCTTGTGGACAAAACGGTATAAGTGCTGTATTAAGTCTGCCAATTATGTTATGCTAACATATGTTTGGTGTAGTTGCGAGTCTGCATCATTTATGTTATAGATTTAACTCGCCTTTATATTTTATTCAATGTGTTCATTTACGTGTACCACATTTTATCACTGTCTAAAGTCCTTGGTTTGACCATATTTTGCTTGCATGCAGTTTTACCTCTTAGTTTTCCTGAACTCAACGTTTTGAGCGTGTAGCTATTTTCCCTGAAACTGAATGTCTTAATAAAACCAAACTTGCTGTACTAAATTATACCATACATTGTAATTTATGAATATTTAAATAGTTGGTGAATGACCTACTTTTGTTAAGGAGGCTTTGACACAGCGGCATGTTCTTTGAGCCGTCTAGACCAGTGGTTCTCAAACCTCTCTGAGGACCTCAAGCCGTTTCAAGCATTTGTCTATACCAGAGCTAGCACACCTGATTTAGCTTGTCAACTAATATCCAGCCTTTGTTTAGATTTAATCAGGTGAGCTGGTTCAGGGCTACAATCAGGGAGGGAGGCTTTAGTGTTGTCACACATTTACCCTAGCAAACAGTTGATTTAAAGTGGAACTGACAGCATTTTAGCATCATGAAATATATTAAAAATCTGTTCATATACACTCCCAGGAAGAATGACTTTTTTGGGGGGGTACATTTTCTGACAAGGGAGAACTTTTGGTCACTTTCATGTTTTCGTACATTCATAGAATGTTTGGGAACAATGTAAGGCATTTGTGAACATTCTATAGCAGTATAGAGTGGGAAAGTGGCCATGTGTCTGGACAATTAATAGACACTGCAGTAAATAAAACCAAATAAAAACATCTGTCCAGGACTGGGGTCTGCGGTGCACCATCGCCAATCAGAGCTACAGTAGGCCTATATGCAAATAAGCCATTTGCCACATGGGCCTGCCATTTACCTTGAACTGGACTGTGTGTTTTACTGGCAGTGGTGAATTTAGCCATAAAATACACAACAGATTTCTGCAAATATGTAAATATCAGACCTCTTACATTTGGGAACTTCACAATAGCTCAGTTGGTAGAGCATGGCACTTGCAACGCCAGGGTTGTGGGTTCGATTCCCACGGGGGGGCAGTATGAAAAATGTATGCACTCACTATGTCGCTCTGGATAAGAGCGTCTGCTAAATGACTAAAATGTAAAAGGGAGGCTCATTGTCTATGCACATCAACAACTAATGCTAGCCAGAGCGAGATGAGCTCAAATCTAACGAGGGAACATTAGATAAACCTTCTCAAACTTTTTCAGCTAGTTCGCTGTCAAAATTGCACTGATAAAAGATGGGGAGTAGTAGCCTGCTCCTTCTGCAGCTTGCCTGCAAATGCATGCTTGTCCCAACTCTTAAAGGGGCAGTAGCCTACCGTGGGTGTACAATTTTCAATTACAGCATTATTTATTCTGCAGTTATTCTATTGCTATTTATTCTGTTAGCAATAAAATGTACATGTTAATAGTATCTTCTGATTACAATTTGTCTCATTTTAGTTAAATGCAATCTATTAGCTTTCTAAATGTAAGTAGGTATATCTAGCTGTATGATAACACATTCTGATTGAATGTCTTGTCCTGCACTTTGTAAAAACCCAGAGTGCATGTTGGAAAAATATCTTAGTTCCTTTCTAAACATAGCAGTGTGAATGCGAAGAGGATTCGGTCCACAAAATAGGTGAAGTGAACTGGCAAAACAGTTGATTCCTCATTCAAAGTCAAGGACAGTGTGAATACAAAGAGAACTGAGGTATTTCGTTTTTATTTTATTTAGTTTTTTTTACCCCAGTTCACTTTAAAGAGGACAATATGTGAAAACACCTTTAGTTTAAAAAAATGTTTTCCATGTTCATGTCACATCGGCATCTTCTGCAGCACCATACAGGACTGAGGCCTTTCTCAGTAACTCAATATCGCCACCTAGTTGATCAAAGCCAGCATATATTGTAGAGAACGATAGTTACCGGAGTTGTAACTCCAGTTCTATGAGTGGAGCGGAGCCCCATAGGGGAGCTCTGCTCCTATTGGTTTACCCCGCTGCCTAGGCAGCGAATAGCCTGAGAAAAAATTATGCACACACCTGCAGCCAATAGGAGTACAGGTGTCCCTATATAAGGGGATGCTTCCCCTCAATCAGCCTCCGGTGAAATTATGTTATACACTGGTGGGCAGATCAACAACATGCCTTCTACTGTACTGAAAATATCAGTCAGGAGTCATGTCACATTTGTCTCCCTCCTAGAAAAGAGCGGACCTGATGGAGACCCGTCCCTTCAGTCCTGCATTATTTTATCCTAGTTCAAGTCCTCCCATCAGCTACGCTGAGTACAAACTGAACCGGAGAGTTAAAAGACATATCCAGAATTGAGGACATGAGCTAAAAACTGAACTGAACAAAGCAGACAGTTAATGCTCAAATATCCCTTTAACTACTGGTACTACATTGTCGCAACACAAAGTGTTGCTGTACACTGTGCCTTCAGTATCCCGCCGCCCCTAGTCTAAGGAAACCAAAGACTAGTGGCCAGGAACGTAATACTTGAGCTCAACTGAACTGCACAAGCAGACAGTTACCGCTCTAATATTCCTTTAATAACTGACGCTCAACAGTGATGCGACACAATGTGTCGCCCCCCCCAAATTGTCAGTAAAACCGCCGCAGCCTAAGGAATAATCCAAAGGCTAGCGGGCAGATAAAAGGACAGGAAACCACACTGATCCCTCAGACACTTTGTATCTCCATATTCCCACACAACTGATCTCACAGTGAGGCGTCACAAGGTGTCGCCCTAGAGACCATGTTATCAGTAAATCCGCCTCACTCAGTCTAAGGCTAACCAGAGACTAGTGGGCAGAGGGAACAATATGATGTCCTCTCCATCACCGACACAACAGTTATATAACCCAAGGTGCTATCATAACTTGTGCATTCAGCAATTCACCACATTCAATCCGAGGATTGATGGATAAAGGAGTATACAAAAACATGAGCAAACACTGCACTGAACCCTCAGACAGTAATAATGCTCCAATGTTATCTTGAGGAGGCGTGGCTCTAGGCTTTGGCCTAAGGCGCCGCGTTCCTAATAGGACACGTTTCACTAGAGGGTGGCTGAAGACGATTGCGTCATCATTCCAGGAACTGGCTGTGTACACAGGCTACTATGTGAAACCTGTACCACAACACTCCTAGGAGTCTGTGGTGTGAGGTTTTTACGAGGTATAACAATGGCGGCTCATCAAAGATGTCTGCCTTGTTCCCTTATTCACACCTGCCTCATGTGTATGCTCAGCTACACTCAGAGTGGTGAGGAGGAGAGAGAGAGAGTAAAGGAACCTGAACGGTCTCAGGTGTATCATGGAAAAGGGGCTCTCTTGTGACAAAGTCAATTGGAGCCATCTCTTTATTAGACCCACAACATGCAGTTTCCTCCATACCCTCAACAGTAGGGTTGGGGGGGAACAGTGGGCACAGTCAAACAAGGCGCTGTGCCGTCTTCCATTCTCTCCCCCTCGCCATGTCATAAACGACGTCTCTTCTGGCCGCCCTTCGGGTGATGCCAGGATGACGCTCTAACGACCTCTCTTGCCGGCGGAATGGTCGGCACCTCTGGCGCTGCAGAAGGGGCGGGGCCCGCTCTCTTGCTGCTAGAGGCTGCCGTCTGACGCCGGGCACGACGCCGAGCAGTAGATCCAGGTCTACTGGAGGCGGTGGAGCTGGACGGTACTCTTGGCATTGAACTAGAGCGTGTGCTCATTTAGAAGGACGTCGTCGAGACTTTAGAAATCGAAGGCGGGTTCGTCCTGAGTCCTCTCTTCTTCTCTTCGGCTTCTTCAGTCCAGTCCAAGTCACTGAAGATAAAGGGAGGCTGATTGAGGGGAAGCATCCCCTTTTATAGGGACACCTGTACTCCTATTGGCTGCAGGTGTGTGCATAATTCTTTCTCAGGCTATTCGCTGCCTAGGCAGCGGGGTAAACCAATAGGAGCAGAGCTCCCCTATGGGGCGGAGCTCCACGATATAGAACCTTTGGTGCATCATATTACACCAACCAAGGACAATCAGTCGATTTCTATGCTCACTGAGTATTAGGATATTGTTGCAGAAGGCTGCTAGTGGAGTTACCAGCTAATGAATTCCAAAATTGTGGCTCTTGTTGATCAAATGGATTCTCTTATGATTTCACTAAGTGACTAGTAGTCAATGGATTACTATTGAGTACATGCAGACTTACACGTGCCATGCTTTAGTAGCATTACATGTGGGAGCATAGACACATCTGAATGTCATAACACAGAAATGGACTGTTACTCAGAGAATATGGACATACTCAGACTGGTCTCATAGACTAGACGCAACATAGTAAAGTAAATCCAGGACACTCAAATTAGTATGATATGTTACGTTTTGTATGGTTATATAAGACAGAAGGTTACTTAAGGCAAAAACGAAAGGAGGGTGGTTGGTCGGGCGTATAACGTGAACATCTAGTAATCCAAAGGTTGCGTGTTCGAATCTCATCACTGACTTTGAAACTACTTAGCATGTTAGCTAACCCTTCCCCTAACCTTAATCCTTTTAGCTAACCTTTAACCCTTTAACCTAACTCCTAACCTTAACCCCTAGCCTAGCTAACGTTAGCCAAGCCTAGCTGACGT